AGAGAAGTTAAGAACATTCAGGGTCAGGAGGTGTCACACCCGCTGATGGCTCACACAAGCAGATTTTTTAGGAAGTACAGCACCTTTTTTTTTTTTTTTTTAATGTGCATGAATATTTGTATGTGAAGACTCAGTAGCGCCACCTGTGTGCCTTGTGCCTGCGGAGGCCAGGAAAGGGCATCAGATCTCCTGGAACTTTAACTACAAATGATTATGAGCCACCATGTAAATGCTGGGCATCAAACCTGGGTCCACTGCAAGAGCACCCAGTGGTCTTAACCGCTGAGCCATTTCTTAGCCCCAAAGTACAGTATCTTACATAGAGGTTTTGTGCCTCTATGGAAGGGTGGATGGGACACAGCGTCATAAACAGCACATAGCAGCCTTGGGACGGATGGACAACCGTAGCCCCTTAGGATGGGAAGAGTTGATTTCTCAGTATCTGGATCCACAGCTCCCTCAAGACCCTGGTCCCAGGCTATTACTTGCTCCACCAAGCTCATTCCTGATTTAGAAAGGGAGCTATGTTCCTTTTCATACTTTGGAGCCTTAGTCTAACCCTCAACAGTAACGATATTTACTGTGCTGACTTCTTCATGTCCAGAATGCCATAAAAAGCCACGTGAGGTGGGCGGTACTCATACTGTTATGTTCATGCTTGACTTCAGTTTAGAGATGAGAGATGTGAAGTACCTGATCTACATTCACAACTACATGATGTGCATATATATATTTAATATGCATGTTATATAATTGTGTATTTATTACATATTATCTATAGCGTGTTATGTTGGATACATAATATATACTTTATACATTATATAAGCATACGTAGCTAGAAGTGGAATACAGAACCTCACATGAACTCTACCACTAAGACATATCATCAACTAAGAACATGGCCTTAGTCGTTCAACTTTGCCATTAACTTGTGCAGATGAAAAACTGTTGTTGCAATAAAGAAATAAATACTAGCTTTTAGAAACTAAGTTTTTAAGAATTTGGTTATATTTACACACAGACCCTACTCCTCTCAGTTCTTCCCTGATATACCCTTCTCCAACTTAGAGACGTCATTTTTTAAAAAATAACCCAATTTGTGCTCCTGTGTACTCTTAGATGTGGGGACAAGTAGTAGCTTTTAGCTTATGCTATATGCCATGTGCTTTATGTAGATTGGTTCACTTAATCATTGAATCAATCCTGTGAGGTAAACGTGTTTCCCTGAGGCTGTAGGTAGTGGTAAAGAATGAGCTTCAGATGTAGCTGCCTCTGTATTCGTTGAATGAGGAAGTGGATGGTCCTCTTTATAGGTGCAGTGAACTGAGGGTGTATGCTCAGAGCACTTTGACACTGTCTGAGGTATTATGTAAGCAGTTGTCTTTGGTACTCTCATCTTTTAGAGTTTTGTACTATGACTGAATAAAAAGTAAGGTAGACAACTCAGAGGAACCCAGTTTAGGAGGAGATGGCGTCTGGGTAAACAGTCTAATCTACTTTACCAACTTACTGGAATGATATTTAAAGGCCAGAGAGTTTTGTGCTCCAAAAATAGTAAAACCTCAAAAGTAGCACTTCATTCAGCCCTGGTTTTGAAAAAGATCTGGGTGCAGACTAAAACTGTTTTTCTCTAGCAGAGTCAAAAAACAGTTTGTGATTTTAATTAGAAGTAAATCCAAGCAGGATGCAGTAGTATACACCTGTAGTTCCACTACTTTGAGGCAAAGGCAAGAAGATCGTGAGTTCAAGGCCAGCCTTAGACTATCTGAAAAAGAAACAAGTAGAGCTGGGCATGGTTGTTCACACCTTTAAACCCACTACTTCGGAAATAAGTTTTCGTTTCTCTGGGCATAAAGCTTAGCAGTGCCATTTTGGGCTTTTAGTATCGCAAGAAGCAGCAGCACCTGGTGTGACTGGTGTTTTTGTTCATGTTCTGGTGGTAAAGTCAACAGGTTGAGGTGGGGGTTGCCTTTGTTGTATTTTTCTTAGAAATGCTGTTTGTTTGTTTTTTCATTGAGCCTTCTACCAGCCTTGATGTTTTTTCAGGAAGTACATGCCATGCCATGTCAGAAATACAAAGATATCAAATGTGGTGGCACATCCCCTTAATCCCTTTGGAAACAGGCAGGTGAATTGCTGTGAGGCCAGCCTGGTTTGCAGTGAGATACTGTCTTTCAGAAAAACAAAACTAAGCAAAACAATAAAACATAGATGAGGAGCTGGATTGATGGCTCAACGGTTAAGAGCACTGACTGTTCTTTCAGAGGTCCTGAGTTCAATTCCTGGCAACCACAAGGTGGTTCATAACCATCTGTAATGGGATCCGATGCCCTCTTCTGGTGTGTCTGAAGACAGTTACAGTGTACTCATGTGCATAAAATAAATAAATCTTAAAAAAAAATAAATGAAAGCTGCATCTGAATGGTGAAGCCTGGCTCTCTTCTTTTACTCAGGGATGATGGTCCCTCTTCCTCGGTCTCAGCACTCAAGCGTCTGGAACGGAGCCAGTGGACAGATAAGATGGACTTACGGTTTGGTTTTGAAAGGCTGAAAGAGCCTGGAGAAAGGACTGGCTGGCTTATCAACATGCACCCTGTATGTACCTGAGCAGTGCTCATCCCCTGCTTCTAGGGGATGGCTGCACCTCTTCTTGTAAACGTCAACCTTGTCTAATGGATGAGTGATAGAGGAGAGGAAGGCATGTCTGAGAGACCTGGTTATTGAAGGCACTTTTCCTTTCCTGTTTAACATGGAGGCCACAAAGTGCCCACCATAGTAAGAATCTGTTAGCTTTCTACAGAAAGCTTTCAAGAATTATTAAAGAAAATTCAGAAGAATCCCCACCAAGGAACTGTTATAATGCGGTTTTTACAAAGGAGGCTGGTGGTATTTGTATAGGAGCAAAGTAAAGGTCTAGGTGTGAGGATTTCATCTTTAGAGAACTCAATTTCTCAAAAAGTCGCCTGGAAAGACTCTTAGGCTTTGTAGAGACTAATATGCTTGTGTTCTCTTACAGACTGAGATTTTAGATGAAGACAAACGCTTAGTCAGTGCAGTGGATTACTACTTCATTCAAGATGATGGAAGCAGATTTAAGGTAAGCCCTTGACTCCAACAACTTACAACCTATCCATGACAAGTAAGTTGTCTAAAATAGGGGGTATTCATTCATTCTGTCAGGGAGGAAATGGGAGGCTGTAGTCTGCAGTTGCTTACATACGGCTAGCTCATTCAAGAGCATGCGCATGTGAACTTCTTCACTCAGATTTACGACATCCTGAGGGAAGGTAGCTCAAGAGGTCAAACAGTATAGTTTCTGGGATTCTTGCCCCTGAGAGATGTGCAGAGCCAAATTTCATGTTTGCAGTATCGTTTGGGGGGCAGGGTTTCTGTATGTAGCCCTGGCTGTCCTGGAACTCACTCTGTATAACAGGCTGGCCTCAAATTCACAGAAATCTGCCTGCCTCTGCCTCCTGAGTGCTGAGATATAAAGGCATGCATGCACCATCACCACCAGGCTCATAGCTCTTTAAAGAGCTGTCAAAGGGGCTGGAGTGCTGGCTACTCTCCTAGAGGGTATTTCTTCAATTCCCAATACTTAGAAGGCTGCCTGTAACTCCAGTTCCGGGAAACCCAGTGCCCTTTCCTGTTGTCTGTGGGCATGAGACATGTACTTGATATATAGATATACATGTAAGCAAAACACCCATACAGATAAGATAAAAAGTAAATAGATCTTAAAAGAGAAGGTTCAATGTGCCTTGGATTCAGGTTACTCATCAGTTGCCACTCTGAAATCTTTTTTTCCTTTCTCCCTTTTTTCTTTTTTAACCCTTTTGGTGATTTTTATAGGTGGCCTTGCCCTACAAGCCATATTTCTACATTGCAGCTAGAAAGGTAAGTCTGTGCTTGGTAGAAATTGGTCAAATGATCTGTTCCTTGTTCTACTGGGTGGGT